CGGCGCTGCCCGCGATGACGCCCACCGCGGCGAACAGCCCCGCGACGGCCTCCGGGGGGTCCTCGGAAACGGGGAGGTCCCCTCCTCCGCTTTGAAAGCCGCTGCCGCAGAGGAGGAGGAGCTCCAGGAACTCCCCGGCGGCCGCCGCGGCATCCGTGGCGCCCGTCATCGGGAGCGCGAAACGGGTTTTGATCTCCGCCGCGAGCGAATCCGGCAGGACGCCGGCCTCGACGGCCTTTTTCAACCTCCACGTGAAGCTCGACGTGGGGGAAGACGAAGCAGAAGAAGACGGCGGAAGAGCGGGAGGGGGGGGGGGCGAGGGGTTCGCACCTCCTAAGGGGGGGTTCACCCCGACAGCAGGCGAGGCCGCCGCGGTGGGGGCCGGTGGGGCGGTGAAAAGAGTCGTCGAAGGGGCTGCGGTGAATGTATTCATACGGTAAACGGAACAAATCTATTAAACCTATCCGAAGGGAAAGCCCATAAAAAAAAAAATTATAAAAAAGAAGGAACCCCGAAAGGGGTACCACGAATAAAATCATGGGGGTGAAAAGGAGAATCATGGATGAGTTGGAGGCGACATGTCGTTTTACGGTCATGACTTCTAGATAGGACTGGCGTCCATCGCATCGGGTCGGTCGAAGCAATACGCACAAAAATGCAAAGAAAATAAGTACAAGAACTCACCCCATCCACTTTTGGCATCTTTCCATATGATCTAAACTTTTTTTTATTTTTACTGTCACTCTATCATGTGCATCTAATTCATGATTTAGCACCCTATAAAGACATATTGAAGATGAGTCTGAAGTATATATATATACATATATATCTAAGTCAACTTTCTGCGCTTTAGACGTAAACTGTGTTCCTCGATCTGACTTTGTAAATCACCGATAACAGCCTCTCTTCGTTCAAGCTCCTTTCGAGCCTGTAACGCATCGGCATGAGCCTGCTGCAGTTCCAGTCGAGTGTTCCCCAGATTTTCCATTTGATTCCGTTTCTTTTCCTCCAAAACTGCCATGCGTTGGGCGGAATTATCCTTTTCCTTGCGTAGATCCCGCAGCTCCCGTTCCAAGTTGTCGATGAGGGAGACAAGGTTTTGATCGATTCGTTTTTGTTTTTCCAGCTCGACATTCAAATCATGCAGCTCCGATTGCGCAAGACGGATGACCTCCTGCTGCGCGGCCAGTTTACCATGAATAACGGTTCGCTCGTACTCCTCCTCCATGCGTACAATCGCGTCTTTGTACGCCGCCCGCTCCGTCGCTTGTCGTTCTTCTTGGGCTCGAAACTCACGCATCCGCCGGCTCACCTCGCTAGAGCCGGGAGAAAGGACCTTCGCGGTGGAATCCAAGGCGAGAGGTGAGGCGGATTCCAGGATATCCCGAAGCTCCTTCTCGTAGCACATCGAGTGGTCGTAATAAAAGCGTAAAATGCTGCGCTCGAGCTCCGCCAGTGCATGATTTTTCTGACAAATCCGTCGATGTCGATCGTCGCGTTGACGGATGAGTTCCTTGTATGCGCGTTCATCCTCGCACGGGGAGGAGGAGCACTGCGCCGTTTCGCTCAAAGCGGAGGTGGTGAGAGGCGTCGACGCGGCGTGCTTGACAGCCCCGTGTGGGCGAACACGCGATCTCACACGAACTGACATGCGAGGAAAATATCAAGAATAGAGGAGTCCCCTGAGGTTTAACTTATGCTTTGCCTTGAGGTCACTCCAAAGCTATATAGTAAATTCAATGGGGAAGGTAAAAAAAGAGATTTGAATGACAAAAAAATGCATAGTAAATTCATTGAAAACTAGAAATAAGCACAAAAACGATGTCCTGAGTAAATTGGAAAAAGAAATAGTTGCGCTTACCCATGAAATATTTGGAATGTGAAAGAAGGAAAAGATTGAATTGGGTTACGTAGATAAAATTTATCATAAGGTACGATATATCTCAAATTTTAATTTCCATTTACGTAACTTTGCAGATCGTTAAATTTTTCAATAAAGAAAAGTGAATCCACCATTCAATTTCGAATTGAAAACAATACCTAGCAACATAAAGAAGTATATAAATAAAGAGTTTGTAACAATATTAAAGCCAAAAATATCTGTTTTCCTAGTAGAGATATCTATCGCTTTCAAGCATTGATATATATATATATATATATATTGTCCTATTAGCAAACATAACCCCGTTTGAAAAAGAGATATACCGGCCACTTCGATTTAATAATGAAACATTCGCATCGTCTGATACGCTTGGTGAAGGTTTATTTTTCCTAGTACGACCGATTAACGTCAACAAGGTACTCATTAATGGGTTGATTCTGCAGAAACGCCTCGGTGATTTTAATAAACCGGTCCACATACACCTGATCCATCTCCTCATAGAAATCCGCGCAGTGCGAGGTCAAGAGGAGTTTATCATCCGGCATCTCCCACAACGGCGAGGTTTGCGGGAGCGGCTCCACCTCAAAGACGTCCAACGCGGCGCCGCGGATGACGCCTTGCTGGAGCGCCTCCACGAGATCCTTCTCGCAGTGCGTGGAGCCGCGGCCGATGTTGATGAAAATCGCGCTCGGCTTCATCTGACGGAAGAATGCTTGGTTAAAATACCCTCTGGATTCTTCGGTTAACGGGAGCACCGCGAGGACGACGTCCGCGTCGGCGATTGCCTCCCCGACAGCGGAAAGGGGCATCAACCTCACCCCATTCTCGTCGAATTCCCGCGTGGGGGGGGTTTTGCGGATGCCGATGACGTCCATCCCCAACGCCGCGGCCGCCTTCCCGCAGCTCTGCCCGATTTCCCCGTAGCCAACGATCACCAGCTTCTGCCCGCCGAGCAAAATCATGTTATATCGATCCCACTTCTTCAGCGCCTTCGATTGATTCATTCGCCAGCATTGGCGGTTGAAATACAACACCGAAAAGAGCACGTGCTCCTTGAGGGCGACGGTGTAGCAGCCTCGGCCGTTGTAGACGTTGATATTCGCGATTTCCCTCTTCATTTCGTGAAAATTGTAGATGTCGACGCCCACCGTGGAGGAGTAAATAAATTTAACTCGTCTATCTTTGAGGCCATAGTCATCGCAGAGATCTTTGATCACATCACGTGAAATTGCCGCCTCCACAAATAGCGCGATTGCTTCATTTCCCTTTTTCACATCCGCGAAATCGATAACTTTCTCACCGAATACGATCCTCTTCACCTTATTCAGCAGCGGATCGAATAACTTTTGGAAAGTGGGGTCATACGCACCCGGCTTGCAGACACACACAGATAACGACATAGTGATTTAATCAATCGGTTCGAGATTGCACATTCACCGTTTTCCTTATTAGCCAATACGTATCCAAAAGGTTATGTTAAAAAGGTGTGAAACCAATGTATGAAGTAGTAAAACCAATGGTTGAGAAGAAAAAAGCAAGTGAAAGAAAAATAAGATTCACTTAATGCGGAGAGTATGCGCTTGAATACACATGTATCTGCCCAGTATTTTACTTATACAAGTGAGTGTGGGGTAGCGGAGTTGGAAACGCCCTAGCAGGTGTAGACACTTCATCCCTACCAAGCCCCCCTTCAATGAAAAAGAAGAGGTACAGTTTACATACATATGAAAGTAGCAAAGACGAAATTTCACATTCCCTCATCTTGTCTAACTTTTTGTAATGAAACACATATGGCTATTCATCAATTGTGTTTGCCTTTTTTTTCTTTCGCTCCCTTAAAAACGCAATCCCGTACGATGGATAGGACCTGATCAACGAACAAATCCAAAGAAACCAAGCACCGACGCCCACAGAAGATCCCACTCATCGCAGAATCCATAGATAAGTTGATAATCCCCTTTAGGGGGGGGGGGGGGTTTCGTTTGCGCGGCGGTGCGCTACTCCTCCTCCCGCAGCCGCGTTTTCCACATCGGGTTATTCGTCCACGCCATGAACTCCTTCACGCAGTTGCTACTCGTAAGTGGGTAGGAAGGCAGATGATTTTTCAGATATTCCCCGGTCGCGTCGATCGTCACCTGCTTCGTGGTTAAAAGCCGCTCGCGTTCCATCACGCGACCAAACGGCAACAGCCTCGGCGGCGCGTACGCGGTTTCACCTTTCGCGAACACCGAATCCATCATCGGCTCCTCGGACGGATTTCCCTCGTCGCGCGGGATCCCCTCCTGGGCGTGGCCGGTGGCATCCAGCAACGTCTTAATGTGGGTTCGCTCACGGAGCATCCGCGAAGGCTCCGACGCGTCGGGCTCCGTCGGATCCCCCGACGCGGCGAGGTTTCCGCTGCTCAACCCCATCACCCGA